CACCGCCTCGATTTCCTGTCGCGCCAGACATCCTGCCCGATCTTTATCCCAGCAGCCTTTGAATTAATTACACGGTAGTTTGGTCGCTTGATTATGGCACCGAGGATCTCTTTTTCCGGTGAGGAAACTTCTGATCGCCTATCGTCGAGGATATATTTAGCGGCTTTGACGCGGGCGAAAGAGCATCTAGAGCCTGATGACGTCGAAAAGCGAGAAGTCAAAGGTCGGCGAACGTCTAAGCTTGAAGAGATGCTTTAACGTCGAATCTGGCGTGCGCTGATGTAGACTCTCTGTCGATCACTGTTTTAGCCACTTTTATCGCAGCCATTCGGGAGTAAAATTAGAAGTAGCTGCAGAAAGTCTGGTTACTGGTGATTAGTGTGTTCAGTTCGTCTTGTCTGTGAGAGGATGAATTGTACATAAAAATACAGGTCCTGTAAATCGTTGAATTTTTAATACATAATAAAAGTATAAATAATAGAACGAAATGCATTTACTGTATTCTTAATACTTCCTCGATAAAATATATAATTTATGAAATTGAAGGGACTTTGAGAATATCCTAAATAAAAAAAAATAATTTATATTATTACACTCCAGAATTTAGGCAAGAGATAAGAAAAGCAGCACATTTATTTCGGTACTACTCTCTTTGCTACAGTACAGCGAAGTTTCTATTTTGAAAATAGATCGACAAATTTATCGGAGCTCCGCTTTGACAAACTTATTTCGGAATAGTCTTCATCGTACTTTGGTGCATTATTTCCAGCAATAAACACATCACACCCGATATGAGCAACGTCACACTATCATGAATGAGAATTAGGGAGTCTATGGATTTGCCAGCGGCAGCGCTGTAAACAAGTAGAGCGTAATGCACGAGTACACGGTAGTTGGACATCCGTTCCGGCGCACCCTGCTTCCTTGGAGACAATTAATTCTAGGTCGAGTTGCGTAACATGGTGAAAAAGCGGCGTTGAAGGGAAACGAATCGGTGACTGGGGAACTGCGTCGCAGCTCGTCACGGTGGAATTGAATTACTCAGCCACCTCTCGACACGCTTTATCAGTTTCAGTAATTCGAGCAGCGTCCCTCTATTAATAGAGAGACGAGCCTGTGAGAGCGTGTGCGCTCATGAGGGCGCGGGGGATGAATCGCGGGCGACACGCGTCCAGTTTCCGCGATTTTGATAAATCATACGTCATGTTTCGAGTCGTGTTACAGCGGTGGACAGTTGGACAGACTCGATGAAGCTTCGTCGTTCCAGCGATTGTCCCGGTCGGTCGGTGTTCAATTCTTGTCGTTCGCGTCACGGTGATAAAGATCCGCACGGTACGGGGAACGTCGAAAAATTTCTGTCGAATTCAGATAAGTCAGATCTAACACATTTTCATGCATTAGATTGATCAGAGTATTTTCTTAAAATGAGAGATTGTTTGAATTGCTTAGAATATTTTGAAGAAATTAGTTTCATCTTCTTCGATGAAAATTTTCTTTAACCAAAATATCAAGAGGACAGAATTAACGAGTTTTCAGTTTGTGCAATTTTTATTTACGGAGGAAGATCTTGAATTTGAACTCGATTTAGAGTGTAACACGATTCTTCTGATTTTTGAGAGTTCCCGAATTTTTCCACTTGCAGGTTCGAGTAAACATTGAACTCTAACACAGATCGGACTTATATTTAAAATTATCTAGAAATTCTCTGCTTCGTTTCATTCTATTAAAAAAGATCAAGGTGATCCTGAGGTATAAAAAAATGAAACACTTACAAAATTCATTTAAAAAAATACTTTTCTTCGTGCAACCCACCACTCTGTGTCATACTGAAATTTTAAATGACTCGAAAGTGTTCCAAAGTGATCGGCTACATTTTTAATTGACGAATAAGAAACATTGCCATATAACTCTTACAGTCTTATTGGACGGAATTATTTTTTGGCAGCGCGGTCAGTCAATTATTGCCAAAAAGGAGCGTGTAAATTTTATTCCAACGAGTTTGCTTAAGCCGTGTGCATATTATCTTTTCCCCCGTTTCTGCAGATAAAGGGTCCACAGAGAGTTTGGAACGTAAATAATTTCTGTACAGCGTTACAAAGTCTCCACGCGTCTGCAAACGCTATGAATCTCGAACTGGAGCGTAGCATTTCAAACCACCTAGATCGTTGTCGAGCATAAAATTATTAACTCGTTGAATAGATAATCGATCCGCACGCAACCGTAAATCATTCATGTTCTTTCCAGTAACCCACAAACCACCTTTATCAGCCGGTACAATACAAGGGTTGCCCTTAATTCTTTCAAAAGTACAGTTTCTACAGTTTCTTTAACGACCCGACCGAACAAGTGCACGCGAACGTTAAATTAGAGGGAACGAGAAACGCTTTGGCTCGAGAGAAATGCCAGGCAATTTCGCGGCAGTAATTTTCGACTTTATCAACGTTCAAGAAATTTCAAACGACGGTTAGTTGTCAAACGCGACTGTTTCCAGCGAGGCTGGCTGGCTTGCCGCAAAATTACCCGACCTGTCGAATCGTTTTATCGGCATCGTTAATTTCGGTTACCCCTATTAATAGGTGAGAGCGCACCTGCGTTCGGCACACTAAACGTCGAAGCGTGATCGAACGAAGAACTTGCTTTTTCGATGGAACGTTGGAATAGTTCGATCCCCGAGCAACAAGTAGCTTCGTAAGCTGCTTTAAATCGTAATCGACGAATTTATACGGCATTAAATTCGAGCACTTCGCATTTTTTCGTTCTTCTTTACATTAGGTCATCGCGACGAACGCGAAGAATATTTTAATGAAAATCTAAGAAAATTCTGTAGAGTCGCCAAAAAGTTGTGAAATTAGAAGACACTTACTTTTCTTCTTTATCAAATTTGTAGGTTCGTTGGAAATGAAATATTGACCTAAATATAAAATTCGACACGAACGATAGATATTTTCTATTTTCCACTTCTATTTCGTCTCTAAATTACTTATTTTTCATTTTTTACCAAGGCAATTTGAAAAACACTAAGATCCTCGCGTCGTTAAAATTATTCATAGAAAGTGTAATATTAAAATAATTCAGGAGAAAGTTGAAACGTAACTTGCGTGAAAATTGTGCTTAAAAATATTCCTGATAAAAACGCGATAGTAAACGAAGCACTAATACACCGATCGTCTAATTTCCACGACACCACCACCAGAGAAAGAGGAAATGGTGTGCGTACGACTGGTAATTCAGGATCGACCGGAAGAGAGGAACGCGAAAGTATCGAGTGAACAGAATTCCGATACTTCTAACCCAGACACACAAGTCTGTGTAGTCTTGAACTTTGGTCGTCGATAATCCAGCGAGAAGTTTTTCAGGAAAAGTAGTGGTTGTTCGACATGTTGTACGTGTACGTTGCTCTAACCACAACCGTTGTTACTTGTCAAGGAACCACGGGACATGTCCCATAGCGGTTGACGAGCCTCTCGAGACCAGAGTTGGTCACATTGTAGAAGGTAACGTTGCTTAGATGTAAGATGTAATGCATACGGTATAATGGTTATTAATTTTGCATTCCGTGTATTCATTTACGACCAGCAAACTCTTTCCTCCTTTCGGTGTTTCTCTCTCTTTTTACTTTTCATTGTTCCGCACAGGAAACTCCCTTCGGGCGTGTGTTTAAAGGTATTAATTACAGATGTAAATCGCCTCTTCGTTCAATTAAGTCATTATCGTGGTTATCTATTCGACTCGTTGCGAGGGAATAGATTGTAATGCACGGATAACGCGAAATTACCTTCGCGTGTCTATGTAACGCAAATGCAATTTTTATCGTTGAATTTCATATCTCCTGGTTGACAAACTTAAATTTAGTTGGAAATTCTTAGAATTGTTATTTCTTGGAACATTTCTTTTAACGCGAAATCAATTTTCTCTCAGATAAAAAGCTTAGTTATCCACTTAACCCCTTACGAAGATGCAATTTTGGTTGATTGTCCTCTTTCACTTTTCATACGGAGCTGTCCTTTCTGTTCTATCGCGAAAATTAAGTCACAGCATTGTAAATACACGGGAGACTCATTTCGATACACCTAGGAAATAATTAAAAATAAATAAAACTGACCGATTTTAGCGTTAAAGAGTTAAAAAAAAGGTAAAGAACGAGTACTTAGAAATTCTAAGCACAAATTGCAATCTGAATCCTCCACGGTTCATTGAACTCGAGCAATCAGCAAGTTCATCCAAAATCCTCTAAACTTTCTCAAAAATCATTAAGAAGAATCTACACTTGGGCCAAAGATCTAACACCAGCTCACTATTTTCTACTTTTCACTAAAACGAGCGACAATTCTCTGCGTGGATCATTAGACCTCGCAAGTGGCGCCTAGCGTATCTCGTTTACGGAATCCCGTGTCAGTTGACGCGCACCTCGTTGACAAGAAATCTCTCGCTCGTGTTTCACCGTGTGTCCCGTTTTTAATTTAGTCTACCTCGAATTGCTGACCACCGCTGACTACCGCCGCGTCTACCAATAGGCCGGCGTCATATCCAGTATTATCCGTGGTAGCTCCTCGACGGAGCCGTGGCGGCTCAGTCGTGTGATAAACGCGGTAGCACCTGGGTAGGTTAGCTGATGCGTCTGCACATCCGTCGACGCCGGTGAATCGTGCACACCGCGGACAATGTATCCGTGGAGCCCGTGAAACGGAACCGCGACCAAAGCCTCTTCAATTCATGATAGCCGACGTGTTGTGAAACCTGTGCGTCCGTCACTCGATCGACTACCGCGTTTTTGTTTCGAATTCTGATCACCGTGAGATCGAGCCGGTGAAACTTTGTGTCTGGATTCGTCGACACGCTTGGTACACGGCTTGTTGGAACAGGTGAGGTGTCTAAATCGTCGGGAACAATGGTTCTTAGTGTAACAATGGTATTTTTGTGGAATATGAGGTATCGGGTTTTACCGGCTGGAAGGAAAACCATTTTTTGGATACGGAGAAACGTTAGATTTTGTAACGGGAATTCTTATCGAAAGTTAATGTGAAGAATCTGAGAAATTTGTGTCTTGTGTCTCAAATATTGTCTTTTTATGATTATTGTAAATTTGATATTTTACAGAGACGAGTGAGAGAATTTTGAATGTTTCGAAGGAATATTGTAAATTCAGTTTCGAGTGAGTCGAATAATTATTCCAAATTTAGTGTTTCCTGTGAAAAAGTGGTATCACCTTAACATTCAGCAATTTCCAATTTTACACGAACAATTCATTGCTCTTTTCGAGGAGAGAGTCAAGTTTGCCGGTGTCGCAAGGTTGGAAAGTGAATTTTTTATTTGGAGAAACGCGCGCGCAGTTTTGAGATCAGAGATAGAGCGAACGAGACGTTTTGCAATCTTTCATTGTGTTATTAGATTGGACTTTCTTTTTTCGAAAGGAAACACACAGCGAAGAAATTGATTATCAATTTACTTCTTGCCACACTTTTTTTCACGTGACAGAAAGTTTACATTGGGTAATGAATTTTGTACACACTCGATAATATCGTATCGTACAAGCTGTACTATTATTTCTTTATCGCTGCAATTGGACATTAACAGACCGGAACCACCGTTACTTTTTACTCCCGCAGAGACAACAAAAGAATTCAATATACCGTCGATACTCTTATAATGGCTACTAATTAATCTCGTTTAACGTCAAACTTGAACTGTATATAAAATAGCGTAAACACGCGCTTTTTCTTATTCGTCAAGTATCAACAGTGCCATTATTACGCTTCGAAAAGAGAATTGATAAGAGGACGCGCTACGAAATTCTAATTACTTTTTACCGGCATAAACTTGAGCGTATTATTCACACCAGTGTTTCGTGGCAATCTGTCGTTTTAACAGACCGAGACTACCGCTAATCCTGAACCGTACTGTTCTCCGTTACGTTTTACGCTTAATCCCGTACTCTTACTCTCGTTTCGTGTTCCCGGAATAATATCTCATATTCCTAGAACGTAAAACTGCAAAAGGGAAAAAATAAGCAGGTATCCAATTGAAATTTCGTTTAAGTGAATTTTCTATTCAGAAATTGCACAATTAATTGAACTATTTCAGAGAAATTCATCGAAGAAATTGTCCCGACGAGATTGCCTTTTTCACTGTGTCAGATATCAGGAAGACAGAGTTGATCGTAAGAGGATGAGTCTTCGTTGGATCCACGAAAATTTAGAGGCACCGACATGCGACGAGGAATGCAGCGATATCGATGACAGTTGCAGCGACGACAGCTACGACTCCGATCTGTCGATCGGCGAGGAGAAAGAGCTGGCAAACGAAAAGGAGATGAACGGCGATCGTCGGAAAAAACGTGATACCAAGCGACATTCGACCACCGCGGTGAAGTTCGACGAGAACGGGTATTTGCCAATAATTACAAGCTGTCGATAGAGCCCCGGCAGTAAAATCGAATCTTCGTTACGCTATATACGAAGCATCAATCGAGTTATACAGTCCGGATGATAAAGTTTGATTGATGGCTCTGTTAATTCATTGAAAATCCTTAATTAAAATTCCATCTATCCGTTAAAGCTGATCTGTTAGAAGGTGTTAATCACGTTCTCGACGTGCCGTGAAATTCGATAATCAATTATAAATTTCTCGATGTATCTTACCAATACGAAACTTTAATCGCTATCGTACACCGTTTTTATAAGAATATTTCCGATAATATTTCGCTCGAGATATATCCCGTCTCGCATTTCTCGCGTGATTTCGTCACGAGATTGATCGATCAGAATCCCCGAGCAGGACCAGTTTCGCGATCGGTTCCATTAAAATGCAATGATTTATGCAACGACGCGCGAGCATCTGACATTGATGAAAGGGTAATGCATACTTTAAAGCTGGTTTCCCCCGCGAGCTACGTCGCAAACCGGCCAACAATAAGTTCGCAGACGTAATTTCCCTCTAACGTGTACTACAACGAGCGTTCATTAATCACTTGAATCGATTAACTCTCCACCTAGTATGCTGTTAACTTGACAATTTTAAATTTCCCGCCGTTCCGCGCGACACTGCTCTCGTCCCCTCGATCGACGAAGGAAGAAGGCGGCCGTTTTTTTTTTTTCCCCGTCGAAATTCAGAGCGAAATTAATCGATTTATCCCGTGGCGAAAAGGGTCAGTGAACACTGGGACACAAAGCTGTCGGAGTTTCTAAACGAAGAGCGCCGAATGGCTGGGTGATTATTATGGTAAACAAAAGCTCGGAGACGCGGATGCTTCTACACAAGGAACCGTAACGAGTTCATCGATCACCCAACCAGATTTATTTTCTCCTACCTACCGTCATAAAGTCCCTTTAAATTTATCAATCTTCCCGCCGTTCTACTTTATAGATCGTTACGCGGCAATTCCTCGAGTCATTGTTTAAACGAACCGCGTGTGTTCGATGCCACAGCGTAAGAAGGATGCAGATTCTTGAAAATATATTCCTTTACGTATTTCCATAAGCGAGGACGCTTCTATAAAGCGGAGAACGTGAAATTTAATCCTGTTACTGTTCTCGATTTCACTTTAGAGCAAAGCTTGTGGAAAGGCTTTGAACCGAATTCTCAAGCTACTCAAAATACTCACGAGGTACTAAAATCGCTTAGGTATTTCATTTTAATCTATATCTAGGAGAAAAAGTTCATTTACGAGGAGTAGTATCACGTTTTTTCGTGTGCTAGTCGAGACTGGATTTCACTCGAATTCCACAGCAACGTGGAAAGTATGTTTTAATTGGTGTCGCTTGAAATAGGAGAAACTTCGTTCCTTTCGTAAAGAAATTTTCACACCTTTTTTCCCGACAATCGAGAATTCCGTTGTGAAAGAAAGACTAGTCGTTGGATATAATAGAATTTTAGTGGTTGATTTACTTCTGCGCGCCACAATTGCCGCGTTTACGAGATAAATTGGAATGCTGGACGCAATCGAGGTGAACCTTGAAATGACAATATCGAAGAAGAGGGCTGTGCAACAGACATACTGCGACACGATACGCGATATTCGCTCATTGATCACTTGATTCGATTAACTTTCTGCTCTATATTGTTGCAGGGTCACTAGGTGTGGGGAGTAGGTACGGTTCACGTGATATTATTACCGGCATTCGAGCACCGTGGCAACCGGCGAAGCTGCAATTCCGCGCGAATTGCATTAAAGCACACGCACGATGTGTAGCGCAAAATTAGGATTGGCGTTTGTGACCGTGTGTGCTCGAGTTTCAACAAATAGATCGTAGCACGTTCAACGTGTAATTAACGGGGGCGTGTTTGCGCAATGTCAAGACGTAATCATTTTCGCGACGTTGAATTTTAAACGAGCGGGAATACTTATGTACGTAGTTCGTTCTGTCGTAGGAGCTATCGCTGTGAAATCTTTATCTTGCGTTTCGCTGTCCAGCAATCGGTCGGTACCTTTGTTTGTGCTTGCGAAGAATTGATAGGTGACTGGAAGAAAAATTTTAGTGGATTTAGAAGTAATAGAATTGTTAGGTTTTCTGTAGACCGGGAACGGTTAATTTTGTGTTGAGGATTTTCGTTTATTGCTTGCACGGGCCTAATTACATCCTGCGAGGGTCACTAGAATTGCTTTGCTAGATTTTTAGTAATTTGTGTCCCTCGCGCTCTATAGCCTGCGAACATACCATAAACCACGAATTTCCGTAACGGTCCGCTTGCCGATTAGTCACCCGGAGGAAATTCCAGATTTTTGGGACTTTCCGCCCACCCCTCGCGACCATCTCCCACCCTTCCAAGGTGACAGCGCGCTAAGGGCGCACCGGAAGGGCGGTAAAGACGATATTAGACACGCTGATTGGCAAATGCAATCGTTAACCATTAACCAATCAGCGTGTCCCAACAAAAATCCCTCTCACGAGACGCGACGTCGGAGAGTGAGTCGTCGAGTAGTCGTTCAACCACCACGAACAAGGAGAACCAAGGAGCAACCAGCTCACATCACGCGATAGGGATAGATCAGTTTTTACAAGTCCCAATCATTTGGGTGGTCATCAAAGCTCGAAAGTTCATCGCCACAACCACGGGCATTAACAAGGATAGTTTCTTTAGTTTTTCTTTTTGGGGTAATGGAGATAATTGTCGCACGGTGATTGTAATGAAATTAATATGGTTTTAATAGGGATGGAGAGAGTGAACGTCTTTATTTGTGCTTACGAAAAATTGATAGGTAATTTAAAGAAAAGTTTTAGTAGATTCGCCAGGTGTGCAAATTAATTTGCTACCCTTTCTCGCAAACTTCAATACTTATTTAGAAAAAATCAAAGACAATTTTAATGGTCGAAATAATGGATGACTTTTTTCTATTTGTCAGGCAACTCACAAATTCCCTATCTGAGAAAGTATGTCAGTTTTTAACCGACGAAGTCGTTAAGACTTTGTGAAAAAGGCACCGGATTAATTTGCACACCTAATAGAAATAAATTTTATTTTCTAATTCCACCGATACTTTCTTTCATTTTCCTTATTAGGATTATAGTAATAATTAAGGATATTTGTCACACAGATATTATAATAAAATTAACACGTTTCGAAGAGAGCGAACGTCTTTATTTGTGTCTATGAAAAATTGATAAGTTTTAGTAGATTCAGAAATAAATTTTTTCTTAATTCCGCCGATAGTTTCTTTAATTTTTCTCTCAGAGTAATGATAACAATTAAGATTATAACAAAATAAACATGGTTTTAATAGAGACGAGGGGAGCGAGTGCTTTATAAATATTTTGTATTTGTTGCGGGTGCTATTAATATAGTCGTACCTCGTTATTGATACCATTAGCTTGATTATTATCGGTTGATGCTCCGTTTCTCGAATAAAGTCTATCGACATTGCGTATCTTCCCCCCTCGAGCATCTGTTTAAAATTAACAGGGTTGGAAAACGTCTACGGTGCAACGAAGCACGCTTCATTCACGAAGCTTGCTGACCTGAAAAGTCGATCGGCCCATTTTTCCAAACGTAATGATATGTTATAAATAGCGCGCCTCCGGGTGCCACTTTGCATTAGATTTAATATTCTCTCCTGCCTTGTCTTTCTCGTAATTCTTTCAATATACTCTATTATCGAAACGTCGTTCATTTTACAAACGTAGATAAGTTACAACTACCTTCGTTCGTACCGAAATTCTCTTCTATTTCTCTAGTATGTGTTAGAAACTTTTCTGCTTTCTGAACAGAAATTTCGAGTAGGCTTCTACGCTTTCGAACAGTTCTCGGTATAAGATTGTCGTTGAAATTAATATTTGTAGACATGGCATTTACGTTTGTACACGGCAAGCAGATGTTTGTACACTCTAAATATTGAATTTTCTCTTACAGAAGTTCGCATTACATCACGTCTGAATTGGCTAAACGTCCACCTTGCGTAATATGGGACCCCAGGAAACCAGCGCAAAATCCTGTGTACGGCAGCCTGGTAATTAAATTGTTTTGCCGAACTGGATATCATCTTGGCGTTACGGAATCTGGTCGAGTTGGAGGCTTGAGTGCCACAAACGAGCCACACGGTAATTATAACGAGGAAAAGAAGATTCTGCTTCTTGAAAAACTCATCGTTGATTAGTGGAAATTAATTAGCAAGAGGAGAAACATTTTTCTGAGTTTTGTTCGATCAATTTTCAGCCTTGCTTCATATCATACCAGTCTCGTTTGGAGTGATTCGAGTACAAAGCATAAAGACCAGTCTGTATTTGGCTTTCAATAAGAAAGGACGCTTGTATGGCGAGGTAAGATCAGTTCTCTCAAATTTAATTTTTTATTTTAACAGAACAAACGTTTCTTAATTTTATGGTACCTTAATGAATTATTTGATTTGACAACTTGTGTAAATAAGCGACGTATGAAATTCACAAAGTAAAGTATGAAAAGTAAAGAATTCATAAGGAAGCTGTTGTTAAATCTACAAATGACGAATAATCCCTGTTTTTGGAAATTTTGCTGCAGCCAAATGCGAACAAAGACAGCACAGAATGGGAACAGTGGAATGTCGGTTCCTACGATGCATTTCGTTCACGGAAATACGCTAATTACGGATGGTGGTTAGGAATAAAGAAGAACGGACGAGCGAAACCGGGACCAAGAACAAGATGGGGCCAAAAGTCGATACAGTTTTTAGCAATAAGACAGGAATAACTTCGACGAATCGTTATTTTATACATCTTCATATTCGTCGTTCTATTAGATCGTAAAAATGACACGAAACACTGATAGTCCAGCGAACGACTTTATACAAATGAAATGTTCGACAATTTTCTAACGAATTTAACGCATATTTTTTTAGCGACAACGAAAATCGTACATGTTTGCTACGTTAAATTTTAAGTTTAGTTACTCTCTCTTCTTTTTTATGGGAAAAAATAAATAATCTCTTTGCCTTCCAATAGAATATAATGTTTATTATAACACTGTGTTACTCAACAATGGAATAATTTTGGGATTGTGCATTCTGCTTGTGCCCTTCAACTGAAACTTTATCGTAAGTCGCAGTTTTATATTGCAGTACATACTCTTTCTTCTTCTTCTTTAGTTATCTTTTTTTTCTTTTGTTCAATTTATAGATAATCGTTGATCGATCATGCTGCAGGCAAAGTGTGTTGAACAAGGCTTCTTTTTTAAATCAGTCAGCTATATGCGAATGCTTGAAATTTATATCGAAACCCTTAAGCGAAAGCTTCAATTAAAAAACGCTGGTGTTTGATTAAATATGGTAACTACAAACATTTATTACCCTTGCATCTTATTCATAAATATCAAATACGCCAAGAAGCAATCGGCAAATTGAAACGAATGCCATTTAATACTGAAGAAAAAGAAAAATCAATCACCGGAAGATACTAAAAAAAAAAAAAGAAAAAAAATGATAGTCGTATTTGATTGATCGTTTGATCTGTTGATAAAACCACGTTCAACAATGGTAATCGAGATTCTTTCTCCGACACACACACACACGTGATGTTATTAAGGAAATGCACAAATGCAACAACGGAATTCTTTGGCAATAAGTAACAATCGTAAGCGCTTTGTAAGCAAGAAGCGTATGCAAGTGACTAAAATAATCGAAAGAACGACGAACATTTCGACGCACGAAATCGATTCGTGAATTAACACGAATTCGACTCGAACGTGTACTTTTAAAAAGGAAAAGAAACGAGCGAATATCTTCGCTCGCGAATAGTTTTCTCCATGAAGAGTACGTACGCAGACCGACGAAGTGTGTAAATCACGAAATAAGCAGGATACATTTAAACCGATATCTTGAGAATTCTTATATCTACAATAATTTTATCCGTCACTCGTTAAATAAGGCAGTTATAATTGTAAACGAGGGTATATACTCTTCATGGAGGATTAAAGATAACATTATTTTAAGATCCCTGTTTCCTCAACATTTGTTTTCTAGCATGAACACGTGAATTCACTTTTTCTTGGTGTTGGGACTTGTGGATTGGAAAACACTCGATGCAGACATCAAATTCTCAATGTACTGGCTCAACACTTGGTTTTCACTTCTCAGCTTCAGATTTTCCTCCTTAACACTGTCCACTCTCTGTGACAAATCTGCATAAGAAGATACATTTAAGGATATTTTCACGAAATGTATGCAGTAACGATGATGTTTGAAGATTTATTCACCATCCAATGTGTTTTGAAGTTCAAGCACTTGGGCAATCAATCTAGCCTTTTCTTCCTGTTCATCGGGGCTGATGTCAGGGTCTAAGCCTGTAATTTGACAACGTTAAATACACAAAAAGATGGAAATTCTCACTTGAAAATGTGAAACTTCATGGTTCAACACTTACTGTTAGGACTACAGCTTCCATTTGTGAATGCAGATGGAATAGAATCCATGCTGCGTCCTCTGCCTAGCGCATCAGCTAGGTGGCAACTATTATCCAACACCTCTTCCTCAGGAATAATCACTACACACAAAAGTATGTAACTTAACTACTACTTTAAACAATATTAAATGTATAAACATTCAATTTTACATAAAAAATCTACCAAGATACCCAGGAATCTAGAACATAATCCACTTTAAACTGTTCACTTAAACAAATAAAAATTCTGATGCACCTCATTCTATGCTCCAAAATTGATCAAATATGAATCAACACGTAAAGAATCCAATAAATAATCTTAAACTAACACAAGAACACTTAATCTATCAGATGTATCAACGAACAATGTTCAATGTTTCACGAACTCGTTTGTAGCTTTAATTCAAAAAAAGATTTAACAGTTTCGCGAACGAAATTCGATCTATAAAAGGAGGGTATTTAAATATTTCACGGAAAAGAACAGGTTATAACAGACGAAGGCGCGATAAAGGAACGAGGAAAACTGGGTCAGAAACGTGGCAGGCGAATTTTTTCTCACCCTGAGGATCATCGTCGGCCAACGGTATGCTGTTCATGTCATCTTGAAGCTTGGCCGTCACAGACGTGGACATCTTGACACGGAAGATCCTCTAGCAGAGAAATAACACACACTTCCAACAAACCTGCGCGCAAGATTCGACGTTTGACCCTTGAAGCTTATCGATTTCCACGGGAAAACCGCTCGCGAAACAGCTATCACGTTCGCCGAGAGGGGGGGAAAGAAACCCACGAAATTACGAAGGATCGTTGCACCGTGAGAAACGACGACCGTTCGATCGAGAATTGAACGAGAGAGATTCGCGAGATTGGCGATTAAGTTTTGCGGTGAATCAACGTCGTTTGTCACTGCACGCCATTTGCTTTCTCGCTGACACCTGCAGGCGCCTCCACTCACTATCGTTTGCGATAGTGATGCATGTCGTCTGTGGTACGAACTCCGGTTCTTTGATTCATTGCGATTTAAATGGGAACAAGGGACGATTTGAAGGAATTAGGATGTTGGATAGAACTTGTAATTTATGAAATTGATTCTTATATAAATTTTGTTATTCTTGACGTTACTGTGTTGTTATTGAATTGTTTGTTATGGGAGGAATTGGGAAATTCGAAGTGTTTCGTGGGTAAAAATGGTAAAATTTTTTGAATTTAATTAATCTTTGATTGATGGCTTTTTGTGGTGAGGTTTAATCATGAAGAATATTGGCTTTTTGTGGTTGACGAAAGTGGAGTAGTAGTATAGCGCTCTCTAGAGCGCTCTAAACGTACAACACACTGCGAAGATGATTGCTATACTTGGAGCTTTTCGGCAGTTGGTATGCTGGTGAGAGCTGCAATGTTTAGTAATAAAGTTAAGAGTGTTGATGAAATTGTTTCTTTTTACAGATATCACGAATCGACTGTGATGGTATTGTTTAACTTGTAAAAAGTAATACAGAAATTTGCATTTAATGTCAATGAGTAAAAAATCGATTTAATGCTCTTTTAACTCAGTGTGAAATATTTT